CCAGGTCCTCAGTTTGGGTCATGAACAAATAATTTCACATTTGGTCATTTAAATGCTCGTAGTTTAAACAATGAAGATAAACTTGATGAAATTTGAACTGTTGATATTTTTGCGGTCTCCGAGACATGGTTAAATTCTCAAATTCCACAAAGTTGCCATACCAGGTTACGGTTCTCCACTAAGACATGACAGATCATTAAATCAACGAGGTGGTGGTGTTGCATTATATTGTTCTGACTCAATTGTTGTAAATAGAAGGATGGATTTGGAATTGGATAGCATTGAAATTTTATGGGCTGATTTTAAGCTAAAACATGAATATTTCTTATGTATGGTATGTTACAGACCACCAAATAACAGGAGTGAAGAGGTTGAACAATTCTTTAGAAATCTTCAAGTTTCTTTAGATCGCATTATTATCCTTAATCTTCATTGTATCATAGTAATCTTAGTACCATAGTAATTTGTAGAACGATTAGACGTATTCCAATGTTGATGTTCGCGGTTTAAATGAGGCACTCAAAAATAATTGTATGGATGATCAACTTGCGGGAAGTACTATTGATATAAATGAGATATACAACAAATGGTTTGATGGATTTAATAGGGTTTTAGGTCAATACTTACCTCGACAAGTAGTTACTATTATTAGGCCTAATGATAAACCGTGGATGAATTCGAAGGTACGTTTAGCGATACGCAAGCAAGATGGCTTATTACGTAAGCATAACAGGACTAAAACTGTATTATCATGGCAAAATTACAAGCGCCAGCGTAACCGGACAACAACAATAATTTGATGTGCTAAAACTTTGCTTCATGAAAAATCTAATGATTTGCTTTGTGATCCTCAAGTCGGTGGAGTATATCTCGTAAATTGTGTGGCAAGTTGATCTCAAACATCCCAGCACTTAAGGAAAACAGAATCACTATTGAGAATCCAGTACACAAAGCCCAGATTTTTAACGATCATTTTAGTCAAACACAACTATGATAACAATACTGAATTACCACATTTAGTCAGTTTCCCAAATGACAAACGTATTAGTTTAATTTCTGTGTCATATTCAAGTATTATCCCTTTTAGAAAATGTAAATGTGTCGAAAGCCTGTTGTCATGATGGTATTGGAAACAAAGTTATTAAGATGTGTGCCGAAGGCTTATATGAAAGTTTTACTAATTTAATTAATTTAGTTTTTATTAGGCCAAATTCCACAATCATGGAAACTGGCAAATGTAATTCCCTTATTTAAAAAAGGTAATCGTCAATTAAAGGTTAATTATCGTCCAATCTTGCTACTACCCTCTCTTTCAAAAATTGCTGATATGCTGATATTGGCTTTTTTTATTCTCTACAATTTGGTTTTCGACCAGGCCATTCCACTATTAATCAGTTAACATATTTGGTTCATAAATATGCCTTAAGGCCTTGGATGATGGTAAAGAAGTAAGGGTAGTGTTTTTGGACATTAGTAAGGCTTTCGATTGTGTTTAGCATACTGGTTTGCTTTTTAAATTACAAAAGTTAGGTGTTCAAGACCCCTTATTAAGTTGGATAAAAAATTATTTATGTGACCGACAAAGAGTGGTTATTGAAGGACAAAGTTCTGAATGGAAACCAATTAATTCCGGTGTCCCACAGGGATCGGTTTTAGGACCGTTATTGTTTCCAGTTTATATTAATGATATTACAGACGGTCTTGAATCAATCCCGTTGTTATTTACAGACGACACTGCATTGTTAGAGATTGTTGATTCTCCAGACGAATCGGCATTTACTTTGAATGATGATCTAGAAAAAATTTTAAATTGGTCACAAAAATGGTTAGTAACTATGAACCCTTCAAAATGCGAAGCTATTGTCTTTTCAGCAAAAAAGAATAAACCTTTCCATCCTGAACTGTATTTGGATGATAGTACCATTTCTCTGGGGAAGTAAGTTTGCAGATAAATCAAAGATTTTCACCACTGTTCAGAAGTATATAATTGATATGAATCGTTTCTCCATACCAAACGTTTGACCAAATGCTTTTTTTTTATTCTTATTTCTGTGTCTGTCCGCAAGTGAGAGTCCTAGTGGTCAATGAAAGGATTATTCTTGATAACACTTCCCGTATTAGCAACGTCGAAGGTTTATTGGTGAGATTTCAAACCGAAAACGAAGAAATGAAATGCCAATTAAGTAGTTTTGAAGCAAAAATCACTGAGCCGTTAAATCAAACATGCATACATCAAACACTCGAGCCTCATGTTGACCTTGAAAATAATACGAGAGCCTCTAGTTCTTTACAATGTCTGGGTAATATGACTGAATTAAAAGAGGCAGAAAGTTTTGTAAGTGTTGAAAACCCGCTTGAAGATGCTTCTTTCAGTGGTAAGGGTCTTGGTAATAATAGCGTTATTGTATGATAACTATTAATAGAAACTGAAGAATTATCTGTTGGTCCAGAAAATAAGCGTAACAAAGCCCTAGAAAATTGTTCATTATTAAAAAACCCAAGTTATTTCCATCGTTCAAAAAGCGGCTTATATAGGACAAATGTCAAAGGCTACGGGGGTCCATCACCTAAACTACATACGCAGCAGAGTAATTTGGTAGAGGGTAGAATAGCTAACAACCAACCCATTCCAACTCGAATCACTAGAAGAGAGGAACCGACGAAAGATTGACGAAAAACTAGTCTGAGGCGGAAAAAAGTAAAATCTTCATGTGAGCAGGTTTTTCGTTCAGAAATCAGATGGAAAGACAAAACGAAATGGGTCCGGTTTTATTACTAGATGATTTCTTATCCCTAAACCTATATAATCATCAACAAACATTAGTAAATGGACAAACAACTATTGCAACAAATTTTAAGAACCTAATTTATATTGAAACATCAATGTTCCCAGATAAATCTGAAAGTATAAGCACTCAGGATACAATGTACCTGCATAGTTCCAAGTTTCATCAGGAGCCCCTTAACAGTGTTCGCCAAAGTGGTGAACCTTTGTTTATTCTATCTAATGTAAGATCACTTCTTCCTAAGATTGAGTTAGAAACTATTCTGAAAGCAAGTTGTATAAACATGGCCTTTATTACAGAAACGTGGCTGAGTGAAAACATCCACGACAGCGCTGTCAAAATTGATGGTTATTCCCTTGTCAGGCATGATAGAGTTAACAAGACAGGAGGCGTGTGCGCCTTTATTAAATCATCAATTCCATTTAAATTATTACCCGAACTACAAGACGAATATTTTGAAACCCTGTGGTTATATTTGAGACCGTATAAACTTCCTCGAGGCTTTTCATGCCTGATAGTATGTGTTATTTATCATCCACCATCCAATGATAATCATGCCCTAGTCGAACACATTCCTGATAGTATGTGTTATTTATCATCCACCATCCAATGATAATCATGCCCTAGTCAAACACATTACCTTAAGCCTCGATTTAGCCCTTACGAAGTACCCAAATGCAGGAATTCTCCTGGTCGGTGACTTTAATAGATGGCCTGTTTCAGCGTTACTAAGACATTTCAGACTAAACCAAATTGTCAAAAAACCTACGAGGAAAAATGTTGCCCTGGATCTAATTCTTACGAATATGTCTGCCTGTTGCAACCCTGCATTGGTAACCTCTCCTATTGGACTAAGCGACCATAGCTCTGTGTTATGTACACTTAAAAGAAATCTGATAAAAAAAACGAGACCAATAAAGTGAAAATTCAACGTAATATACATGCCAACAAGACAGCGTTTGGAAAATGGTTAGCTGATTATAATTGGTCGACTTTGTATCGTACTGTCTCGTGTAAAGACAAGCTAGATATTTTCACAAAAGTTATCAACACTGCTTTAGATTGTTTCTTTCCGATTAAAATTATCAAACTACATGCTAATGATAAACCCTGGGTAATGCCCGAATTCAAAGAAATCATTAAAGATAGGCAAAAAGCATATCATGACAAGAATATCCAAAAATACAATTATTTGCATAACCTAGCCAATAGAAAAAGGAAACAACTGAGGTCCAGCTATCTTGATAAAAAAATGGACCAGTTTAAATCTAATCCTAACCCGCAAAAGTGGTAGGATTGTATAAAACAATTCGCAGGGTATCTGAAGAGAAAGGCAATATCGTCTATGGTCCTTGACAATGAGATTGTTGTTGGAAATGTTTTAGCAAATAAAATTAACGACTTCTTCATATCAATTACTAATGAAATTATACCTTTACAGCCAGAATCTACAGAAAGTCAGTCTGAGTTTAATGAAAGTAACATTCATCCCCAATTTATTATTTACAAAGAAAGTGTGTATAATAAATTGTCTGATATACAGTATGTGTCTCGAAATCGTCAGGTTCAGATGGCATCCTAAATTGGGTGCTTAAACATTATGCTTATATCTTAGCCTTACCAATTGCCTCACTTTTTAATGCTTCGATACCGTACAGCAACAGCACGTTCCTTCAGTATGGAAAGACGCTGAAGTTATTCCAATACCAAAAATATCGGTACCTGCAGACATAACAACCGATTTGCGTCCTATTTCATTGACACCTACTTTGTCTAAAATCTGCGAATCGTTTGTATCTGATTGGTTGATTAGTTCAATCAAGAACAAAATTCCTCAACGACTCATAATTTAATTAGTTTGGTACATCACTTATTAAAGTAAACTGATGCGTCAAAGTGCGCCCCGTTTGAGTGTTTCTTCTTGACTTTTCTAAGGCTTTCGACCTGATAGACCACAACATCTTGTTGCATAAATTATTGGAATTGAACGTTCCCCCAACTATTTTTAATTGGATTAAAAGTTTTTTAACTGGACGGAGGCAATGTGTGAAGCTGGGTAGTTGGTCTTCGAGTTGGAAAGTTTTAAACGGAGGAGTACCGCAGGGAACTGTTTTGGGTCCTGAGGTTCTTTTTTTGGTTATGATCAACGATCTTCTCGATGAATGGCCCGACTGATGGAAGTATGTGGATGATAGTACGGCTACTGAAAGTGTCATGGTTGATTGTAGCAGTAATCTTCAGGATCTCGTCGATTATATTTATAATTGGACTGTTACAAATAATATGAAACTTAATGTCACTAAATGTAAAGAAATGATCCTTGACTTTGGTAGGGTAAAACGGAATTTCCCAGCATTATTAATCGAGAACACTGAGGTTAAACATGTAAATTCTGCCCAAATTCTCGGCGTTACGATACAAACCAAAATGAATTGGAATGAACACATTAATAAAATTGTTAAGAAATCTGGGAAAAGATTGTATATGCTTAGGTTATTGAGACGAGCCAACGCTGACATTAGAATGTTATCCATCACATTTACCACTATTATAAGGCCAGTCTTAGAATACGCTTGGCAAGTTTGGCACTTCAACATTCCAGGTTATTTGAGTGATGATATTGAAAGGGTTCAAAGAAGAGCTTTGAGAATTATTTTACCAGAACTTAGCTACAACGATGCATGCAAACTTATTAATATTCCATCCTTGAAGGAACGACGTGAGATTTTATGCGAACAGTTCTTTTTGAGAGATGAGAACCTTCAAAAATTGGATGAATTTTTACCTAATAAATCCTTTTCGGTCTATGATACGAGGGGAAATTGTAAATATAATAATTATTATTGTAAAACAGAACGTTTTAGAAAATCTTTCTTACTACAAATTATTTCGAAATTAAATTGTAAATAGTAGTTTACTCCTTTATATTTAATGATTTGTAGTATAGCTGATGTAATTTAACCTTCGGTTACAAAATCAGTAAATATATTTAATAATAATAATAATAATAATAGATAAGCAAAATGCTTTCAACTCAAACTTGCAATTTTGTTGTAAATATTTTTCCCCTTTTTTGTTATTAAACATGTTTATATCACAAATAGTCCTTCACCATCTCAGTAGAGGTTGGTTTTAGTTTATTTGGTAGTCATAGGAACCTTTGTATTATATTTTTAAAATGTTTCCACAAATAGTCCTTCACTATGTCAGTAGAGGTTGGTTTTAGTTTATTCGGTAGTGGTAGGAACCTCTATATATATGAAACAAGCAAAGAAAAAACTGTAATTAGTACTTCCTCTAAACGTTATAGAAAGGTTCCTCTAAAACGTTCCTTTAAAGCACTTGTAGTCATGTTTTATCACATATAAAACACTCCGCTACGCGTCGTGTTTTATATGTGATAAAACACTCCTACATGTGCTTTAAATAGTACATATATATATGTGTGTGTGTGTGGTGTGTGTATATGTATATATGTATATGTATACAGCTAATTCAATTAAGGTTGTCCTTTGAAAACCTTAAACTCTAAAACCTTAAACCTTAAACTCTAAGCGTGCAAAGCATTATGGGAGTACGACTTAAGCAGTTTAGAAAGCATATATGGAGCCCATTTCTTAGAGACATGGTAAATATCTCCCTGCGAAAACATTTCACTCACAAACAGCTGCAATATTTAACTACTAAGCTTGAAATCAGTGCTCCCATTATGCTTTGCGCGCTTAGAGTTTAAGGTTTAGAGTGTAAGGTTTGCAAAGGACAACCTTTTTTGAATTAGCTGTATATGTATATATGTATGTATATATGTATGTATATATATGTATATATATATATATATGTATATATATGTATATATGTATGTATATGTATGTATATATATGTATATATGTATATATGTGTATATGTATATATATATATATATGTATGTGTTCGTTTTGCAGTTTCAATATTTTTTTATTTAATAACTCAGTATATCATGGGCACGGCTAGGCACGTCTACATACAGCCTTGTATATATATTACTTACTGAGTTATTTAACCCATTCAGAACAGGAATTTCTCAATAAGGCCAGTTTTACAAAATTTCAATGACATGGGCAAATAATTGTAACAATATTTTAGGAGAAAAAATTAAGCTAATTACGAAAATTATATAGGTTATGACATGAAAACTATGCATGGACGGATGGACGCTTGACGCAGTACAAGCATGACGTTTGGCTATGTAACCCATCCATAACTACTTTGAAAACTTCGCATGCCAAAGGTCCTCAAGACGGTGCTAGGGCTATCCTTAAACACAAAGCTGGCATGGCTGTCATTAAAGAGGGCCCCCTGTACTTTTTGCGTGAAGCGTGAAGGGCTTATTTTACTTAGCCGTGAAACGTGATCGGGCCCCCTATAATTTTTGCGTGAAGGGCTTATTTTACTTAGCCGTGAAACGTGATCGATGATTTTCTTAATCTGTGACTCGTGAAAAGGCAAAATATTTTTACGTGAAAGCATATTATGAAGAGGTATAGGGGGCCCTCATTAAATGGCAGGTAATGACTCACTCATGATCTATTTTCAACTATCCATTTTGCAGTTTATTTAAATTTTAGTTTTCTCTGAAATCCCTGGTCTTGATTGGCTAACTTTTGCGGGAAATATATAATTAACTCTACAGTAACTCATACAACCGGACCCTGGCTATAAATTGCCTACTGTTTGCATTACTATATAAAGGCCACGACCACTTGCAAGCACAATATCTGCACAATCTCAGAGCCATGTTATGCTGAAAGTTACGCCCTGTGCCAGAAATTGCGTTGCATGTTGCAACAAAAATTGCCTTGTGTAACATGGCCTTAAATTATTTAACTGCTTAACAAAACCATATGTTTTTCTTTCACACATGTAGGTTGTCATTCAAAATGCGAAAGAATTGTACAAGTTCGCTGAGTCTGAGAGTACAATGAAAGATCAAGCACCCTCGCGATACCAGTCTGAAGTGTTAAAGTGAATATATTTTTCTATGACGATGAAATACTCCGCAACCGGAGAGATAGGTATTAGGGTGCATCATATGCCCCATGATTTTCAAAAGATAATGCAATCAACTCTACCTTTTTTTTTAGTGGTGAGGTTCATTCTAAGTAACAAAACTGTGAAGTTTAGACTTGATTGGACAAATTTTAGGGGTAGCAGGTGACCCTTTAATATTACGGCATGTCACATGGGACGAAAATAGCCCAGATGTACCATATCTTAACTTAAGAAGACCATCGACACTTGATTTCTGCATCAAAACATGCAGAAATCCCAGGTTTATATGTCACATGTTAATATTCTATAGGTCTAAAAGCTTTATTTTACAAGTTATCCTCTAAAACGTATTTTTTTAGGTTGTTTTCATATTACAGTATTGGACTATTGGTATAAAAAGTGAGCATGTTCATAATTTGGTATACATTTTTCATGTCTTGTTTTGGTTGCAAATAATGAACTAAGTACTTCATGTAATTCCATGTTTAAAGACCTCAATTCCTCTAGTACAAAACAAAGATGGCGGACATGGATATAAATATACAAAGCCAAAATGTAAGGAAACAATTCTAATCTTTGTTCCATCAACAATAGTCTTGTTATCAAGTTTAAGTTGTTTGCAAATGATAATTCAATTACACCAATTCGTGTTTGGCAACTGATATTCGTGTTAATTTGAACCATTTGCCACACAGTACTGTCGACTATAGATCACTAAGTGCCCATTAAAGGTTTTTGACTATTTAGTTGACTATTTACTTTCAAGATTACAATGGCTAAAGAATCTCCCCGCAACAAGGGTACGCGATTCTTCCTTCTGGGTACTATGCCAACAGATGATGACAAGACAATAACAGGCAGTCGATTACCTACAGCACATCAGGTCCTGCTTTGCTTCTTGGCCCAACATCAGACAGCTAGTAGTAAACGTGAAGCAGCCAATAAAACTGTTGAAACTGTAAAACACTTTTATAGTCGTGCAAGAATCCCTAGTCTTCTTGATCATAAAATGGCTGAAGAGGTGGAAAAACTTTTTGATGACATGAAGAAAATAATTAAAATTCAACCAAAAGACCAGACTTCAGGAAAGCCAAAAGAAAGAGTAGATGAGTTCAAAAGCCGGCTACAAACAACTATGAAGTTCTGGCCAAGGAATGCTATGGAAAACCTATGCAACGAAGAGGATAAAAAGTTCCTACAGTCTATGACAGACAGGCTGGCTACGATGTCCGGTATTGATGTAAAATTAAGTGAAACTGAAAGAAAAGTTAAGGAAAGGAAAGAACAGGAATTAAAGAGGATTGCAATTCAAAAAGAAAGTAAGATGGATACTTCATGTTCAAATGCCACATTGAGCGATAGTGATGATGAAGAAGAGTCAAAAGAAGTACCTGATCCTCTATATTCTTGTGCTAAAAGATCCCACAAGAGATGTGTCAAAACTGGTGTGACAGTTTTTATTCCTCCAAACATACTAAAATCACCTAAGGTTGTTCAATCTCTTGTTAGAAACAACATTTCATCTTCTGCAATATCTTCTGTTATGCACGACATTGTCACAGCAGTTGAAGGAGATCCATCTAAACTTAGCCTTAGCTATGCAACAACACAAAGATATAGAGTTGAAACTGTCAAGACAATTGCAGATAAAATTAAAGAAAATTGGACTCCACCATCCATTGCAAACCTCCACTGGGATGGCAAATTGATGGCTACCTTGGATGGTGCTAGTCAACAAGAAAGATTACCAGTTCTTTTATCAGGCGTTGGTGGGACAAAGCTGCTAGGAGTACCCACAATTCCTCACAAGTCTACAGAAAAGACTGGGGATTTGATTTCAGAGTGATTTGAGTGTGTGGCAGGTATGGTTTTCGACACCACCAGCTCAAATACAGGGTGCAAAACTGCTGCATGTATGGCGCTACAAAATAGACTCAATCGTCCCC